TCCAACAATTCTCCCGTCACCTCCAGGGCCATCGCTGACCCGTGTCCCCAAGTGCCACATCCACGGGGATCTCAGATCCCTCCAGGGCTGGGGGCTCCACCCCCGTGCCAGGGCTGGAGAATCCTTTCCATAAAGGAATTTTTCCCAGCCTTTTTTTTCCCCACCAGGCAGCTTTCCAGCCACTCCTTTGCCCAGCTTGGGGCATTCCATGGGGTCTATCCAAGCAATCCAAGTGAAGGACGTGGCACTCGTCGATCCCCACACCGTGGGGATCCAGAGCGTCCAGATCCCACTGCAGAGATTCCTGCCCTCAGGAGATCCATATCCCACCCAATCCTGATGCCAGGTGTGCCCTCACCAGGTATCTGAGCCCCTCTAGGAACCTCTCATGGTGCTGGATGTGCTGGGCCAGCTCGGGGCATTCCATGGGGTCGATCCAAGTGAAGGACGTGACACTCATCGACCCCCACACCACCTCCCTCCCACAGACCTGTCCAGATCCTCCACAGAGATTCCCGCCCTCAGGAGATCCACATCCCACCCAATCCTGACCCCGGGTATCCCCTCACAACGTATCTGAGCCCCTCCAGGAACCTCTCGTGGTGCTGGATGTGCTGGGCCAGCTTGGGGCATTCCATGGGGTCGATCCAAGTGATCCAAGTGAAGGATGTGGCACTCATTGATCCCCACACCACCTCCCTCTCACGGACCCAGCCCTGTCCAGATCCCTCCACAGAGATTCCTGCCCTCAGGAGATCCACATCCCACACAATCCTAATCCCAAGTATCCCCTCACCAGGTATCTGAGCCCCTCCAGGAACCTCTCGTGGTGCTGGATGTGCTGGGCCAGCTCGGGGCATTCCATGGGGTTGATCCGAGTGAAGGACGTGGCACTCGTTGATCCCCACACCACCTCCCTCTCACGGACCCAGCCCTGTCCAGATCCCTCCACAGAGATTCCTGCCCTCAGGAGATCCACATCCCAGCCAATCCCGATCCCGGGTATCCCCTCACCACGTATCTGAGCCCCTCCAGGAACCTCTCGTGGCGCTGAATGTGCTGGGCCAGCTTGGGGCATTCCATGGGGTCGATCCAAGCAATCCAAGTGAAGGACGTGGTGCTCATCGACCCCCACACCACCTCCCTCCCACAGACCTGTCCAGATCCCACTGCAGAGATTCCCGCTCTCAGGAGATCCACATCCCAGCCAATCCTGACCCCAGGTATCCCCTCACCACGTATCTGAGCCCCTCCAGGAACCTCTGGTGGTGCTGGATGTGCTGGGCCTCGTCCTCCGGGCTGGCGGCCGAGTAGATCATCCCGCAGGATTTGCACACGATGGCTCCAAAGTGCTTCTGCCCCGCGTCCTGAGGGGAGAGAGACAGCCAGGGGAACATTCCAGAGCCGCTGGGGCTCAGGGGTGAGGCTCCCGGTCGGCTCCAGGGGGAAGTGTTTGCTTCCAGATGAATTGGGAGGGACGGGAATTATCCCCGCGGGGAACCGGAGTGTTTGGAACGAGGGTGGAGGGAGATCAACTGAGGGAAAAAACGGGAAAGAGCCTCACAAAAATAAATAAAAAAACAAAGGAAAACTGTGGGGTTTTGGTTCTCTCTGAAAATAAGTCACTTTAATTTCGGAATAGAGGGAAGAGAAAACTGTTTGGGTTCCCTAAACCCCTGGTTTTTACCTCAAATCCCCTCAGAGCCTCCCTCAAACTCCTCCAAACCCACCATTTTTACCCCAAATCCCCCCAAACAGATTAAAATCTGGACTTTTACCCTTATTTTCCCCTCAAGCTCCTCCAAATAATAACACTTTTACCCCAAATCCCCTCACAAACTCCCCAAAAATGCGGGCTTTACCCCAAATTCCCTCACAAACTCCCCAAAAATGCCACTTTTACTACAAATCCCCCCCACACTCCCCAAAACCTCCCTAAAAACGTGACTTTTA